ATTCACAGCCACAAAGCCAAATGAAGAATCTGTGGGGTGAGCCCCTTCCAGCCCAGGGTTAATTTGGAGCAGCTCCTCCAGCAGTTCTGTCTCAGTGCTGGCACCTGGGCACTGTCAGGGCATTTCAGAGCCTGAACAACATCAGATGAAAAGGAAATATCTTCAATCTTTATCCAAGGATTAAGGAGAAAACCCACCAGAACAAATCTGTGCTTTGGCTGTGCTGTTGCCAGCCAAATTTAGGAGGAGCTAAATGAGATTTTATCAAGAGACCATGAAATTGCCATTTTTGAGGGCTACTTCTGACCTCACTCCAGTCTCACCATCCCCAGCCACAACGACCCCAGTGTTGGAAGGGGCTGAACATCTGGGGAGCTGAGCAATCACAGCCCAGCACAAACAGCTCCTCTCACTGGGATTTGCTTCAGTTAGAAATGTTTGTGATAAAATATAGCATTTCCCCAGGTATATTCTGCATTTAAACCCATCTTTATTTTATCCTGTTTGGAATTTCAATGTGTCACAAAGGAGTCGTGTCCCCTTTGTAATTTTATTACAACTCCATTATTTAATAGTTTAAATAGTACTAAACAGTTTGAGTGCTGTTTCAAAAATGTTTTGATACATCCACTTTTGTTTAATTTAGCTGGGATAATGAATCCATCCAGCTGGCACAGAGTTGGATCCCCCAGGAAACAGGTAAAACAGTCTGGTGGATGGTTTTACTGTAGTTCTTCATGTGGCATTTATTCTCATTTATTCATGTGGTTTTGTGCACAGTGATATTTGCATCAGATGTGAGAATCAATTTTGACAAATTTAGGAACTGCATGACTGCAACTGTGATATCCAAAACCATCATTACAACTAACCCAGGTAAGAGCTGCTCAAGAATTTCCTTGCTTTTAGTAATTATTCTAGGCTAGAATGCATTAATTACTCTATTGGAACTGTGATTTCTTCTCCCTGCTTCTCACAAAGCTCCCTGCTTTTTGTCTGCTTTGTGATGACCAGTGCCTTTGACTATTTTATTTTATTTTATTTTATTTTATTTTATTTTATTTTATTTTATTTTATTTTAGCAGCCTTCATATGTTTATTCCATGCAAGACTAACAGTTAAAATAATAAAGAGAAAAGCAAATCTTGGCTAATTCCAACGTGTTTGCCCTACCAGAATAAAAACTTGTAACATAGAAAAATGCTGTGATTTTTACATGCAACATATACTGATAACTTTTTTAAAAATGCATTTTCAGAAACAGCAGAAGCAAATGTTCTCTTCAGCTTCATCAAGGAGAGTGCCCAGGCAGGAGCTCTGCCCAGCCCAGGGAAGGAGCTGGCAAATGAAACCATTAACTGTGAGCATTTGATTTTATTTACCTGCACAGTCATTTCATAGTGCAGCTGAAAGAATTCCTGCTCTGTGTGCTCAGAAAAACAAAACTCATCTCCAGCCTGGCTGAATATGGAAATCTTGGATGTTTTTTTGGGGCTGCCCCTTATTTTTCCTTTATGTACCTTCAGTGCCTGTCTGGTGTGTTCTTTGTGTGTGGAACCAGTGTGGGAAAGCTTTTGTCAAAATCTCCTTTTGGAGGATACAAAGATTAAATAACAGATATAGTCCTGATCTGAGTTCCCTTTTGTTTTACTTTTTTTTCCTGCTGCCTTAAATCTCCTTTTTATTGCCTTAAGATCCATTTTTGCTGTTGCTCTTTGAATAATTTCTGGCTCAGACACTTAACCTATCTTTTAAACTTGTAGTGGAGGCTGTAGTGAATGTCTACACAGTGGAACAGCTGAAAGAAAAAGCTCTGCAGAGTGATGGGAAGCTGGAGCCTCTCCATGGAATTATTTATGGCTACATTTCCACCCTGGACATCGACGAGAACGTGTCCAGAGTCCTGCGCAACAGATGGTGAGCAACTGCCTGCAATATGTGCTAAAAACTGCTTGTCCTTCTTCCCCTGAGCCAAATGAGATGGAGCAAGATTTTAATCCCATCCCAGAGAAGAAATAAAACTCCTCTGGAGGATGCCACGTGGGTTTTTGTTGTGGGTTCTGTGAAAGCTCTTTGTGGTCTTAAAGTGAAAAATGAAGAGATCACTTTGTCTCGGACAGATTCAAGCATTTAGGAGATGAAAACATTTTTTAAAGACAAAGTCTCTCGGGGAATCTCAGTCTAGGAAAATGTTTCAGGAAGAAGAAATCGCACATCTGCATGAATTGTCTCCTTGTGTTTCAGCTCAATCTGTCGCTTCATCGTGAGTGAAGTGTCCAACACCTGCACCTTCTGCACTGATGTCTCCCCAGAGGCCAAGTCCACCTTTGCCAGCTTTGACATCCTGGTGGATGTGACAGATCACACAGGCACCCTGCACTCCTGTTACCTGTCTGACTGTGTCGCTGAGGAAACGCTGGGCTGCACAGTGAGGAGGGAACTGGGCTGTTCTCACTGAGCTCCGTGTGGAGCCCGATGAGAATCACAAATATCTGTAAATGTTCTGTGGATGTGTGTGCAAGAGTTACAAAAATGGCATGGGTGGATGGATGGATGGATGGATGGATGGATGGATGGATGGATGGACACACAGAGCTGTGTGACAAGGCAGAAGTTGGAAGTGAGCAGATGCCAACAGGAATTGTGTTCAGTGTAAGAGTGACCCCATTTCAGAACACTGCTTTTCTGAGAACGTGGCTGGAAATCCCTAACTCTGATTTTCAAACAGCCTGCAATTTATCTGGTTAATGTGACTGTCTTGGTACACACATCACACCAAGCTCTATGTTAAAACAGAAAAATACAGCTTAGAAATGGATAAAAATATGTAAGATGTTCTTGTCAGCATCATTCTGCTGTGGAGATGTTTTAACTATGTGCTGAAGTGTTCTGTGTGTCCTGATAACAGGTGCAGGAATTCCTCATGCTGGAAGAAGACCAGAAGACTGCACTGAAATGGCAACTCCTCTTGGAACGAAGCAAGATTTACTTCAAAGTTAGTATTTCATGTTTAATTCAAAACAGTGGCTTTTTTTCACTTTTAAACTTGTCCTCTTGGGCAAAATTCTTCTTAATTTCCCATCTCTCCTTTTTCTGTCCCTACTTCCAGGACAAAATGAAAGTGTTTGACTTCAGCAGTGACATAAATGTGTACTCACACAGGAAATAATGCAAATAAATCTGTCAAACATGCTGTGTGGCATCTGAAAATACTCTCTGTCAAAGTGCTGTGATAACAAAGATCCTCAATTATTTTTCCAGGTCACTTCATCACCCAACTGGAGAACTGGATTAAAAGTGAATCTTCTTTCCTGCAAACTGGCAGATCCTGTAGAGGCAAGTCAGAGCTTGTTGGCAAGAGACTGGAATGATTAATAAATGCTAGCAAAGACTTCCTTCACTCTGCTGTTAGAGATGAAATTCTGCTGTTGTTGGATTTTGCCAGGTCTGTTCTGATGGTAAAAAAGGGATTGCACATTACAGTACCTCTAACTGGGCTTCTGAGTTCATATTTTTGGGTGATTGTACTTTAAAAAGTGTACTTGGGCCTCAGCTTAAAAGTTTTAATTCTACCAAATTCAACCCCTTTCAAGGAGGCTGGAAGGTTTCCTCACTCAGCTGATCTCTTTGAAAAAAACAGAAATAACAAATAGGTCACAAGAGATCTGTTGAACTTCTGTGGTTTTAACTGCTTTGCTGCTTTTGTGTTAAAGAAATAATAAAAAAAACCCTTTGAAACACTGCCTGGGTTTGTGGTGCACCTTGGTGAGGCCACACATGGAGCTGTGGGCAACAGCAGGGCTGATTCTCTTTGGGCAGACTGAGTCTAATTAGAGCAGAGTAATCAATTAGCAGTGACTTCTGACAAGGAAAAATCAAGCTGAGGCTGTAAGCAGGACTCTGTTCACCACAGCTGGATTTCAAGAACCCAGGTCTGTATATTGTATATTATATATTGTGCCTTTATTTATTTTCCCCTATTTTTAATAGATTCCTGTCCACAGCTTCCCCTCCTGCTGGTGTATTTGTCACATTCTCACCTTCTGAGCACGTTGGGACTGTTTCAAACAGAGGGACATCCCCCAGCCCTGCTCTGCCAAAGGTTTTGTTAGGCCAGGACACCCCGGGGAACTCAGATCCTTCTACCCCTTAAAGCAACGTGGCACAGAGAAAAACCACCACAAACAGGAAATCCTGACCAGCAATCCCAGATTGCATCCCTGACTCATGGCTGGGAATAAAAGACCCCAAAAATGCTGCCAGTGTTGGGTCACAGCATCCCTCTTGTAGCAATAAACAATTCAGCATTTTCCAGCCATAACAATTCTCATTCTGAAGGGAATGTTTCCAATAACTTAATCCCAACTCTGTCAATACCCAGGGCTGGAGACCAAACTGCAAATGATGCCCTGCTGCTGTTGCCAGAGAATGTTTGACAGGGAGGAGGAAATACAAACAGCACAGACACTTTAATTCCATCCTTCCTCTTCCAGAACTGTTCACCCTAATGTGTTTTAATTCTGAAGAAATTCTAAAGAAGTTATTTAATTTCTTCTCCCAGTGTGGTGTGGAGCACCCTGGACTATGGTGCTCTCACAGAGTTGCTTCTCTTTGGGAGACAGGATTTTTCTCTGTTTTTTAAAACCTTTTTTAAGCTTTTTTTTTTAAGCTTTTCTCAGCAGTTATTAAGATCTGGCTCTGATAAATGGAAGCGTTTAACTTTGGTGCTTTGCATTTATGTTAAAAAAAAAAAATCCATCTGTTTTTATTAGCAATGAGCCAGTTCTGTGCAACCTTTGAAAATCTAAGTTTTGATGTTTGCATGAGGAGGATTTTTTAAATTATATTTTACAACTTGCTCTGTTGAATTGAAAGAGAACTTGCTGTCATGCAAACTGGTGGGGAGTGCTGGATCAGCTGGAGTTGGGAACTGGGGAAAGTTACCCAGCATGGCTTTCAGCAGCTGGAAATACTTAAAACCCCAACTGCTGCAGTCACAGTTTTACTAAAAATACATTAAAATCAGTCAAAAGACAAGTTTGGTGGTGATTTTTACACATATGCTTCTTTATTCTTGATCTTTTTGCATTATTTCACTTTTTGAACATATTTAAAGTTCAGTTTAGGAAAAAACCCATCTGCCAAACATCTGGCACACTTCCTGCTGCCTTCACCCCTTGGAGTGGGAGGAAAAGCCATTCTCCTTTAATTTGTGTGTTTGAAAAAAGCAGGGAGAAATCACAAAACTAATAGAAAAAAAAAAATCAAACATCTTTCTCTTGTAAACTCTTTGTGAAGCTGCAATTCTTGATTTATAGGGTTGAACATCTACACATACACCTTTGATTTCCCACAGCATGGCTGAGCCTCAGCTCCTACATCAGCCTTTGAATTGTTTTGATCAGTAATTTTTATTTTAAGGCAATACATTGGCACAAGCATCAGGAGAAAGGAAGCACGCACAGGACAGCCAGTCCCACTCCCCTCCCCAATGTCTCCATCCATTTCCCAGGTACGGTTTTGGAATTAAATCTTGGAATCTGGAGATTCTGGGCTCCACCTGCTCCAGGCTGGGCTGGACTCCGGGTTTGCTGAAGCCTTCATGGAGATGGAGGAGATGGAAATCAAACCCCTTTTGGGCTCCTGGGCTCCGTGCCCTGTGTCACCTTGAACCTCATGGTCACCACGTCCCTGATCCCTGCCTCGATCTCATCGTTGGCCTCCACGGACCCCACTCCTTCGGGAGTCCCCGTGAGGATCAAGTCCCCTTCCTCCAAGGTGAATATGTGGCTGATGTAGCTGATCAGGTACGGGATGGAGAAGATCATGGAGGAGGTGTCCCCCTCCTGCCTCAACTTCCCGTTCACCTTCAGCCAGATCCGCAGCTTGTGCGGGTCTGGGATCTTCTCCTTGGGCACGAACTCACTGACTGGGCAAGACGAGCCGAACCCTTTGGCCAAAGTCCAGGGCAGCCCCTTCTTTTTACACTGTTCCTGCGTGTCTCGGGCCGTCATGTCCAGGCACAGGGCATAGCCCGCCACGTGCTCCATGGCCCGCTCCTGCGGCACGGCCTCCGCCCTGCGGCCGATGAGCACCCCCAGCTCCACCTCGTGGTGCAGGTCCCGGCAGTAGTAGGGCCGCACGATGGGGGATCCCTCCCGCACGTAGGCCGAGGAAGGCTTGAGGAAGAAGAGCGGCTCGGCGGGCAGGGCGCTGCCCATCTCCTTGGCGTGCTCCGCGTAATTGCGCCCCACGCACACGATATTCCTGCCCCATTCCCAAAATCGCGACAGCTGTTTGGAGCTGGCCATGACCGCCCTTGCTGTGTCCTTGCCCGCCCCGCACGGCGATGCCGCTGATCCAGCTCCTCCCCGTTCGGGCCGGGCCGGGTTCAGGGCTCAGCACCGCCCCCCGTGCGGACTGGGCCGGGCCGGGTTCAGGGCCGGGCTCAGGGTTCAGCACCGCCCCCCGTGCACGCTGGGCCGGGCTCAGGGTTCAGCACCGCCCCCCGTGCACGCTGGGCCGGGCTCAGGGCTCAGGGTTCGGCACCGCCCCCCGTGCACGCTGGGCCGGGCTCAGGGTTCGGCACCGCCCCCCGTGCGGGCCGGGCCGTGCCCAGGGCCGGGCTCAGGGCCCAGCACCGCCCCCCGCTCACGCCGGGCCGTGCCGGGCCGTGCCGGCGCTGCCGCCGCCTCTCGGGGCGGGCAGCCAAGGTAACCGGGCCGGGCGGGGTGCACGATGCTCCGCGGGGGCTGGCGGGGGCTCGGCACCGCCCTGGCAGCCGGGGCCGTCCTCGGGGCCGTTCTCCGAGCCGGTACGTGCGGCGGGTGCGCCCCGGCAGGGCCCGTGAGGAGCCGCGCTGGGGCTCTCGGGCTGTGCCTCCGGGTGTGCCGGGCTTTGGGCTGAGTCACGGCCCCAGCGGGGCAGGACGGGCTCGGCTGCAGAGCTGAGCCCATCGGGGAGGCCCCGCGGAGCCCCGGTCGGTGCTCGGGGAGGAGGATGCGGGGCCGGGGCTGGGTTCGGCGGCTGACAGCCGCTCCTGCTGGTGGAACCAACCGCGCACCGCCCGAGCTTTGCGTTTGATTCCGGGCCTAAATCCTCCGAGCCTATCCTGGCTCTCTGGGAAGTGTCCCCAGGTGGTTTTGCATCACTCGGGTTTTAAGACGTGGCTGTAATGAGCGGGAATCGCTGGGGGTTCTGTGCCAGAGCCGGGCGCGCTGCTCCGGGAATGCAGGGTGGGAATGTCAGACCGAGTTCCTGGGATCGCACGGTGGGAGCTGCCCCGGGTTCGAGCACATTTATCGGAGCCATAAACTCGCTGGGTATCCAAAAAATCCCTGCGTGCAGTGTAGAGGGAGCGCGGTTCTTGTGAGGCAGCGCAGCTGCTGGGCCTGCAGTCATTTCTGAGTGACAGCCCTGCTCGAAACGGGAATTTTCCACTCTTTTTATGTAATAAAGACAGTAACCCCAAACGTTCTGGAGGAAATGCAGCCCGGTTCTGTGGGTACCTGCCTTCTGTCAATCCCCAGCACGGACACGTTTCTGTGCTGACATTGACACTTCCAGCTGCAAAGCTTTTCCCCTTGGCCGCTCCAGCTGTGCTCTCGAGCCATTCCTGAGCCCAAGGGGGTGATTCAGAACCTGCTGGCTCTGCTCTGCTCATCAGGGGGGATGTGGGACAAAGCTGAGTGAAAATGAAGTCACGGGGTGAAATCCCAATCGCACCGATCAACCCTCCCGTGCTGGATTTTAGAAATTTAGAGTTTTTGAGGTTTTTTTGTGTTGTTAGGTATTGATTTTTTGGAGAACACTGCTTTTGATTTGAGGCCTTGGAGAATGCTTCTAAATTTGAGTGGTGAAGTTAAAGTAAGGTGTGTAGTTAAATAGAAGTGTGTGCTTTCACATGGTAAAGGGTTTTAAATTTGAAGTTTCTGTAGTATAGTAATAGGTATGGGACAAGATGGAAGATTTTGGGTGGTGTCTTTTTCATTCTTCTTCCTTCTTCTTCTTCCTTCTTCCTCCTTTTTCCTCATGGGTTTCATGAAGAAAATGAAATTTCCTTAAATTAATTCTGGGGCAGAGCTGGTGCTGGGCAGGGGCTGAACACCCAGGGAGCTCCTTTGGGTGTGAGCAGTGCGTGAGAAATTCCCTGCTCTGCTCCTGAGGTGCAGCTGAGCTGCACATGGCAACTCACGGCACGTGAATTTCATTCTTGGTGGATGTTTTCTCATTCCTTTGTTGAAATTACATGTTTGAAAACATTTCCTTATGTGGTGCAGCTTGTTTGTTTGTTTGGTAAGAATTGCAAATTACACACGCGAAGAGACTGTGGGATCCGGGCCAAGGTTAGAGATGGTTCATAGGAAAGAAACATTTGAAGCGTGTGATTAATTCCTTTAAGTTAAGGTTGGGTTGTTTTTTTTTGTTTGGTTGTATTTTTTTTTTCAACACCTAGTATAGATAACTCTTGTGACTGACAGCATTCAGAAGCTCTCCCTGTTGGTGAGCAGTTGTTTTTTGGGCATTTTTTTTTCCCCATCAAATAATAGTAAGGGCTTTTTTTGGTGTTCTTTTTTTTTTTTTGAAAGGAGTCTTCTCCAGAGGAACACTCTGCAGGTAGGGATGCTTCTCCCAATTCTGTAAATACCCAGTGCATGCCTGTTTTGTTGTACTTTGGGGTTTTTTGGTTGTGGGTTTGTTTTTTTTTTTTTTTTTGATCATTGTGTTTAATCTCACTGGTTTCCCTTCCCTCATAAGCAGGGAAGAAGGGGAAGAAGCTCTGGCTGTGCCAGAGGGCTCTGCCAGCTCAGCAGGAGCAGATCTGCAGGACTGTGGGGCTTTTATCAGGGCTGGGCAGGCTGGGGTGGCAGGGGACAGTGGGACAGGGTGGCACCAGCACGGAGGGAGGTGGCCGAGCAGGAAAGTCAGGAGCCTTCGGGAGAGTCAGTGGTGCAGAATAAAATGGGTCTGAGCCAGCACAGGCACCTCTGGGGTGTGCTCACACCTCAGGGCTGCTCAGACAGCAATTCCTGACCTGCAGGGACTGGCACCTCTTTCCCTGCCAGGCTTTGAGCTCAGCTCTGAGCTGCAGGACCTCGCTCACTTTGCTTCCCTTCCTTTAGTTTGTGTGCTAAAACCTCTTGGGGTTGGTTATTTCTTTCAAGAGCTGTGCACCGAGCAGTGGAGCTCAGGTTATTTGCATCTGGAATTTGCTTCTTGGATCCGATTAAACATTGAACCAGAAGCAAACATGGAAGCACCGGTGTTGTATCAGGGCAGGCATGAGCAAGAGCCCTGTGTGTGCCTCTTACCTGGCCAGGTGGGGAGCCTTCCTCCCTTGGAGAGCCTGGCTTCTCTCCCTGTGCTGTGCAGGATGACATTTCCCCAGTAAGGAACTGGAGATTTCTGTCAGAGCAGTGTGTGTTTTTCTGTATTCTCCATTTATTTGGTTTTTTTTTCCTTCTTCCTTGTTTTTGTTTTTTTTTTTTTCTGGCCCTAACATGCCCTTTGTGCCTTTTTTTGCAAAGTCACTGTCCCCATGCTGACCTTTGGCCAGCTCCATTTTGCTTTCCTGCCCCTTGAAATCTTCTCTCTGCTCCAAGTACAGAGATTTCCCTGCATGGAAAGCAAAGCATCCTGTCCTTCTCAGGGCACCTTGAGGGTTCCTCCTCTTGTGTGAAGGAGGCAGGTTGGGCTGTCCTGTGAGCTGGGAGCACCTGCCATGCCCTGTCCCACCTGTCCCCATCCCAGAGCTGAGCTTTGGCTGTTTTTGGGTACCCAGGTCCAGCACAGCTGCGAGCTAAATTCCTGCACACAGAGCACGAGCTGAGGGAGCCCAGCACAGTGAGCCAGGCCGACATGAAGGTGGAAATCCTGCCAGCCCTCACTGACAACTACATGTACCTGCTCATCGACCAGGACACCAGGGAGGCTGCCATAGTTGACCCTGTGCAGCCCCAGAAGGTAACACTGCCTCTGGGATGTGCTTCCAGGTTCCTCTGTCCAGGAGGGAAGGAGCCACACTCTGCCTCAGCTGTGTCCCTGCTCCTTCCAGGGTTTGCTGTGTCCCTGCTCCTTCCAGGGTTTGCTGTGTCCCTGCTCCTTCCAGGGATTGCTGTGTCCCTGCTCCTTCCAGGGGTTGCTGTGTCCCTGCTCCTTCCAGGGATTGCTGTGTCCCTGCTCCTTCCAGGGTTTGCTGTGTCCCTGCTCCTTCCAGGGATTGCTGTGTCCCTCCCTCACCCCGGGGTTTGCTGTGTCCCTCCCTCCTTCCAGGGTTTGCTGTGTCCCTCCCTCACCCC